AGCAGGAACCTATTGCCGAAGACGAAAACCCTGAGGAGTGAATCCAGCATGAACCTTTCGAAGATGAAACCCTGAGGGGTGAATCCAAGAAGAACCTTTCACCCAAGACGAAGACCCTAAGGAGCGAACCCAGCAGGACCCAGTGCCGAAGACAAAAACCCAACGGAGCGAATCCAGCATGAACTTTTTGCCGAAGTAGAAACCCCAAGGGGTGAATCTAAGAAGAACCTTTCATCGAAGATGAAGGCCCTAAGGAGTGAACCCAGCAGGAACCTATTACTGAAGACGAAAACCCTAAGGTGAATCCAGCATGAACCTTCTGCCGAAGATGAAACCCTGAGGGGTGAATCCAAGAAGAACCTTTCACCCAAGACGAAGACCCTAAGGAGTGAACCCAGCAGGACCCAGTGCCGAAGACAAAAACCCAACGGAGCGAATCCAGCATGAACCTTTTGCCGGAGTAGAAACCCCAGGGGTGAATCTAAGAAGAACCTTTCATCGAAGCCGAAGGCCCTAAGGAGTAAACCCAGCAGGAACCTTTTGCGCAAGGTGAAACCCTAAGGGGTGAATCCAGGAAGAACCTTTCACCGAAGACGAAAACTTTGAGGAGTAAACCCAGCAAGAATCTGTTACCGAAGGCGAAAACCCTGAGGAGCGAATCCAGCAAGAACCTTTTGCCAGAGATGAAACCCTAAGGGGTGAATGCAAGAAGAACGTTTCATCGAAGACGAAAACCCTAAGGAGAAAACCCAGCAGGAAGCTTCGACCGAAAAGAAAACCTGTCAAAACCAAGAAAAAGTAGGGAGTCACAGATGACCCGTGTTGCTGTGTGAAAACAACATCGAAAAGCAAGGCAAAAGGGCCGGGAGTCACAGATGACAGGCGCTTGTTTGACAGGAAATCACAGGCCTGCCAATGAATAAGAGCACTTTCGGTTGAGGTGATGTGTGGTGATGCCAGGCGGAGGGAGTCACAAATGACGGGGATTTACCTGGCCAAAAGCCAGGAACGTAGGGAGTCACAAATGACAGAAATAGGGAGTCACAAATGACAGGAGTGCCGTACAGCAAGCGTCAGGAAAGGTCATGCTTGAAGCAGATGTAGTTTCAACAGAGGGCCGAACGAACAGCAGCCATATTGCTGTCGGCTTCAACCTGAAAGTCATTGAACACACCCTCATGCTTAGGCATAAGCAACGAAACTTCAAGCCCCTTATTCTCTGATCTCTGGGGGGCCCAACAGCCCCTGATAAACTCCGACCTCAAGCCCTTCGAACCTTAAACTCGATAAACCCTGAACAAGCCTAAACCCTAAACTCTGAACCCTAAACCCTGACCCTAAACCCTAAACCCTAAACCCTAAAGCACCGGCAAGCCTGGCGCCCCGAGAGGCAGCGGCCCAAGTCGCCGCCAGCCCCTTGGAGGCGCTACCTCGATGTGGACACAGGCCCTTGGGTCCTAGAGTTCGACTTTGGGGTTCTCGTCAAAGGGGTGACCGTGGTTACAGGTTAAGCGGGCTATGGGCTTATAGGGACATAGGGTCGTAAGGGTTTAGGGTTTCGGGCTGAGGGTGTAGGAGACCTTGAAAAATGATATTTCTGAAAAGGCCCTCAGCGGTGGAGAGTTTCCTTCGTGGAACTTTCGGAGTTCCGACTGGGAAGGTCCACGATGTTTCTGTGAATTTCTGCAAGAGCCTCGCCAGGCTGCTGGTACTACCACAACGAGGCAGCTTGTGGCGGATTCTCCCTTAAAAGAATCCTTGTAGTCTATTGTTGGTCTCACCAAAATCGTATTCTCATTGGGTCCCCCCGACTAATACTGGGCTCCGGGAGCCTGAAAACTCCCCAATGTCTCAGAATGCACAGCCCCTGTAAGGGGACCCTAGTTTGGTAGCCACCCTTCTAGCAACCCTGGCAAGATGAAGCACCTCAAAGACACACTCTGCCGGCAGTGCTCTCTCCCCGGACCACAGGAAACCAACGTGACCACCTGGGACTTGCCAGGGCCCCTGGTGAGTCCGACGCGATGAGGAAAGGGCACTGCGATAGACATGCAGCGCCCCCTAAAAGCAGCAGCAGAGCGGGTGATCTACGTCAGCCCAGAAATTACATGTCCATCATGAAGAGTACCCGACACCCCAGCTCTCCTGGCAAAGTTATGTGGTGTAGAGAGACGCATAGGGCATGCTTTTAACAGATCAGATACGAGGATTCGTGTGGGATGCAAATGAAATGCATGCATTCCGAGGCCTACGGCGCTGATGCGTGAGCGGCCACCGGAGCCCTTGGCTCCTCGGCGGCTGTCATGGTCGCAGTCACGGTACATGCTAGTCAAGACCTCCAGACTTCGATAGTATCTCCTAGGTCATAGGGTGCATGCCGCTGGAGTCTGTGAACATCGTGCGGTGCCATGTCAGAGTGTATTGCAGTGCACCAAAGTATACATCTAGTGGCGGACAACCCTCCCGGACCTTGCACCCTAAACTTTCTGAGCCCGGCTGCCCGTAGCCCCAGTTGGTTTTAAGCCCCCGGAGACCTTCCGCAGGCTCCCTGGCAGCTGGTGGCCCACGCGCCTTCGGGGAGATGGCTGGGAGCCCAGCTGATGGTCCCGTGACTTTCCATTCCGGTGCTGCAGTTCGCAGACACCGGAGTGGTCTGGTTTTAGCGAGAAGACGTTTAGTGTCAGTGTTGACTCTAGTGGCTCTTGTTGCACAGGAGTGTCTCCAGTTGAAAAGGTTGCGGGGTGCACCAGACTCTGAAAGCGAAGCGAATGGCGGCACTTAAATGGAGGCTTAGAGTCCAAACATAGATGTTTCATCCTTTCCCAAATGCAGACCAAACGGGTCGTGTGGAGCTGGAATGCTTCCCCCGGGAAGCAGCGACGCAGTCAAGACCCGAAGTAGCATGAGCCTCAGACACAAGTGGAAACCGAAGGCAGGCGTTGTGGGCTCCCTGGCTCCCTGAAACGCTTTCAAAAGTCCAAAGTGTTTGGGCCTGCTCAGCCCTACGCTTATTGTGACCTTCACGGTAAGCTTACAGTAACCACTACAGTAACTTCAGAGCGACCCGTGTACTAATCCTGCAGTAGCCCTGAGTTCAGGTTTCGTGGTTTGCGCCGGACTCGTGACCTGTGAAGCCACGAAGAAGTTGGCCTGAAGACTCAAAGAACACCGCTGGAAAGCCTGAGGATTTATCGTCTAGGGTTGAACACCGTCACAGAAGGGTGGGTCGCTGCAATCTGAGAGCCTTGCCGGATAAAGCCGCTGTTTTCGTTGTTCCCGTCGATCCTGTGCTACGCGGTGAATGTCGTGTAGAGCCAGTAAAGCCAGATCTCAGGTATTACCACAATCGTCGAACTGGAGAGACCACGTGGGACAGTCCATGCGTGTCCTCTTGCCGTGGACGCCCGAAGCGCCGTGCGGCCGTGGCCTAAGATCATGCAGTTTTCTGACATGGTTACCAAGGGCGGTGCTGGAACACGACAAGGACAGATAGTACAAGCTAGGCCAGTTGACGCATAAGGGTACGATAGCCTCGCATGATGGAAGAGAACCGCTATTCTCAACCAGCATCTCGATCCATGATTGAACGTCGCATATCTTAAGATTAAGACTGTGCAGGTCAATTCAGGAGAAGAGAGTGTTCTATGACGTGTACATATGGGTATGTTCTGTATCGTGCGATAACATAAGACAGTACCACTTCGGGAGCTTGGGCACACAGAAACAGTAAATATCAGCTTTGCTGAGTCAGCAGTCCTGACATTGTTTTGGACTTGTTTGGTTTTCTATGGTATGTTTCCTATTAGACATGTTAATACATGTTATATGGTATGTTTCTAACAACATATAACATGTGCAGTATCATGTTCATTCCATCTACACACACGCGCACACACACATACATACAATTATATATATATATATATATATATATATGTACACATACATATACACATATGTACATACATATGTATATACCCGCACATATCATGCATTATACATTGTCATATACAAATATAAACAAATAAATAAATATATATATATATATATACATATATATATATATATGTACACATAAATGATTTCGTATTTGTGCTGATGGGCAATAGACAACTGTGCCCTGCGCTTTCCAAAGACTAGCTATCTACACTTACTAATTGGTATATAAACATGCCAGGTTTCATCGTAATTCATCCAGTTCGCGGACACAGGGCACTTGGTGCGATGCCGAGGCCCCGAAGCGGCGCGCTGCCAGGAGCCCGCAGCGGAGGTCGCAGGTCACCGACGGGTCCCGGGCTGTTGGAAGCAAGGGTTTAGGGCCCAGGGACGCCTATGGCAGCGATTCGGGGCTTTTGGAGCTTGTGGAGGTGTGGAAGCCTGGGTTGTCGAAGAGTTGAGAGCCTCTTTGAGCCTTGAACGTCGCAGGCGCGGTCCGTGTGATCGGTGGAGTGCCTTTCTCAGTGTGGAGGCGGCTGATGTGTCACCACCTAGTGACCTAGTGTGGCCTTGGGCCCTAATTGGCCTGTGACGGGACCTTGACTTTAGAGATCCCGGTTGCAGGAATCGCATGGTCGGAGCGGGGGTGTTGGTGGTGAACTGAAGGCTTGGCTGCTGTCCTACTTCCGCTCCGGTGAAATTCGTCGGCAAACTGCAGAGCAGTACGCAAGGCTGTAAATTGTTGAGGTTTGATGAATGCCGTGTAGTGATGCGTCCTCGCCTGCTTGAACAAATGAGGACGGCATGCCTTCGAAAGCAAAGTAGTAACCTGAACAGTCGACGAGGTATCCTTCCTCTGCTTTTATAGTACCCCCATGCCTCTGCCCAACTGGTCTTCTTCGCAAGATGCTCGGGCTCAAAATTGGCCCAGCGTGAACCAAGTGGTGCGGTTCGACGCCATGGCGGATGAACCCGAAGATCCCAATGTGAGCCGAGATGAACTGTTCCATATTGTGAGAGATGGTGACTATGTTGATGCCAAGAAGGCCTTAGCAAAGGCAGATATGGCTTGGCGGCACACAGCTCTGCAACAAAATTTCTTGTTCTTTATTGCTGCACGGCGCCGCCGGGGATCCGAATTATTAGCAAGGCAGTGCATCGAGATGGGTGTCAATCTAGAGGAAGTTGATGCACACGGTCAGACGGCTTTATTCTATGCTGCAGCGCGCGGCAATTTGGTCATAGTGAAATTCTTGCTTAATCTGGGGTTTGAAGTGAACTTCCGGGACTTCGCCAGGAAGTCGGCTCTCTTCTTTGCCATTGAGAAGAATCACATGGACGTTGTCGATTTCTTAGTCGAACGCTCAGCATCTGTGCTGATCCAATCATCAGACGGGATAACGCCTCAGGCCATGCTGAAGGCCTTGGGGCACAAGGCCCCCAGCCGGAAGAGGCCCTGGGTGTCGCCGACACCGACTTGCGCGTGTCCGGGCGCGGCAACACGTAGCCGTTTTGCCCAGTGGGAATGGGCCGGGGCCCAGGAGGAGACTGAGTCACTGATTGAAAAAAAGGAGGACAACGTGCTCGTGGAGAACGCGCAGTATCTCAGTTCAGAAGCTAGTGCGGATGTCAAATTAACCGCTGCGCGAACCCGCAAGAACAAGATCACAAGAACAAAAACAAGTACAATAGCAAGATCGCAAGAACAGGAAGAATAAGGAGAACACCACCAGCAACAAAAAAGCACAATCAACAAAAGACACCAACAGCAGCAACAACAGCGACAACCACTGCAACGACAACAAACAAAAGCAAACAACACGACGACACCATCATCACCACCACTACTAACGACAGCAACAGCAACAGCAGCAGCAACGCGAACAACAACAGGAACAACGACGATAACAAGAACAAGAACAAGAACAGTACTAGCAGACTAGCAATAGCAACAACAACATCAACAGCAACAGCCATAGCAACAGCCGTAGCAACAGCAACAGCAACATCACCAACATCACTAACAACACCAACATCACCAACACCAGCACCACCACTACCACCAACCACAACAACAACACCACAACCACCACCAACAACAACAAGAACTTGGGGTCTTTGTGTGTGCGAATGTTTTTGGAAATCTTCTTCTAACTGGACAACTAAGGTACTACGTGTGTGCATCAACGACAGGGTGTTCGAAGCGCCTCCGCCGCTCGGAACGGGAGTTTGTTGGAGATCATGCTCATCTCCATCAACAGGAGACCTGGTACAGCAACTTGACTCCTGAGAATTCTGCCGCGCTCGTGAACGTGAGCATGGGTGACGAAAAAGCACATGAGAAGATTATTGACGAGTTGGCGCAGGGATCACGGCCTCGTGCCTTCACGCTGGTAGCAGTGTCGCAACAGACACGCACATTTGCCGGCCACATCTATGCAAGCTTTGACGAGGAGACCTTGAAGATCGGCCAAGTCAAAGTGGACCGGCCCCATCAAGAACGGGGACTAGGCGGTCTGCTACTCAAAGCGGCCGAGAAGCGAGCACGGAACTTGGGAGCATCCATCTCGAAAGTGAAACTCACGGTCCTCGAAACCAACAAAGGGGCTCAAAGATGCTATGCAAAGTCGGGGTTCAAGGTTACCACGACATACTCGTCAAGTTTTCCGCCGTGCGCTTGCAAAACTAAGCGAATCCCTTGCCACCATAAAAAAATCCGGTGGCTGAACATGGAGAAAGCTTTGCCTGACAACGCGGCCTGAAAAACAGGCGTCCCCGGTGAGGGTTGAGGAGCCACTGGCCGAAAGGACGATAGAGCGGGTTTGCACCTTGGAAGTGTCAATATGTCTTGATGTCTAGCATGTGGATAGCGGATATGGCTTAAACATGCATGTGGACAAGCACATGAATATTGTCATTATGTCTCATCTGCGCACAATCCCAACGGGAGACGTCTAGGAGACAGATTGTCTGACATGCTCCTCAAGAGCGACTCATGCGGCATTGCGGATTACATTGTTCATCGATGTTCATCGCCATGCATGCAAGGTGTCGGAGCTTACTCTGGTGGGACCCTGTGTTAAGAAACGCCAGACATGATCATAAGAGTTGTCATGGTTTCTCACTCCTGACGTGGTTTCCTGACTGGGGCAGGAGAAGCAACAATCCACAGATGGGCCTCGCAGATGTTGCCGTGTGGACTGAGCACATTGTTGCATATTTCGTCTGGACTCACACGGCCATCTGGGCTCAATCGCTGTAGCATCGATCCTTCAGGAGAGGCTAGTGAGGACACGGAGAAGCAGATGCTGTCTTTGTTTCGGGTGGCAAGGGCACCAAAGGAGATTAAAGGAGGAAAGCTCATAGATTGGGGAGAGATCGAAGTTGTACAGCATGGGGTCAGCTACATCCGTCTCCGACAGCGGGGCCTTCACCTCAGAAGGGCAGCAAGACGACGAATACAGTAGCTGCAGCTGCCCTCGCGCCTCAGCTGGAGTCGAAACTCGAAACAGGACCCATATTGGCGTGAGAATCCACAGACTTCAGCTCTGGGTGGACGCGATGCCAGATCCTTAGGGGGACCCTATTTTTCTTGACCTTTTTTTGTTTTTTTTCTTTGCCTTTTTTTTTTTCCCTTTGGAGGCCTCGGTGTTTTCTATTACAGCTGCTACTGCACCTACTCCCACTATACCTCCTACTACTACTACTACTACTACTACCACTGCTACCAATTCCACTGCTACTACTACCACTGCTACTACTACCACTGCTACGACTACTGCTACGAATACTGCTACGACTACTGCTACGACTAGGACTACTACTACTACTACTACTACTACTACTACTACTACTACTCCTACTACTACTACTACTACTACTACTACTACTACTACTACTACTACTTCACCTACTTCTACTATACCTTACTAGTACTACTACTACTACTACTACTACTACTACTACTACTACTACTACTACCTACTTACTACTTACTACTTACTACTTACTACTTACTACTTACTACTTACTTACTACTTACTTACTTACTACTTACTTACTACTTACTACTTACTACTTACTACTTACTACTTACTTACTACTACTACTACTTACTACTTACTACTACTACTTACTACTTACTACTACTACTACTACTACTACTACTACTACTACTACTACTACTACTACTACTACTACTACTACTACTACTACTACTACTACTACTACTACTACTACTACTACTACTACTACTACTACTACTACTACTACTACTACTACTACTACTACTACTACTACTACTACTACTACTACTACTACTACTACTACTACTACTACTACTACTACTACTACTACTACTACTACTCCTTACTACTACTAGCACTGCTACTACTACCACTGCTACGACTACTGCTGCTACTACTACTACTACTACGCATGCGGCAAATACGGAGAACGCAGGAGCCCAGGGCCAAAAAAAAAAAAAGGGCCAAGAAAAAAAAAAAAAGGCAAAGGAAAATTCTCCACCCGATCCTTAGCATGGTGAAGGCGCAAGACCAGCAGGCTATACTTGAAGGCTCATGCTTATGAGTTGGACTAGAAGTGCGGCAGCTGGGTTTATGGGCAGTTTGGCTTCCACCGACTTCACTTACCTTGGATAACATCGCAACCTAAGCGGCAACGTCGATTTTGTCTGCTGTGTGAGTGGCCAACTTAAGGGCATGATCCGATTGTGCCATTCTTTGACCCACCGGTCGGATCCCCCACCTCTCTGATGTGACAGGTCTACTCGAGCAGTGTGCTGTGCCTCGGTCATTTGGTGGTACGTGAGCCGACCATCCGGCTACTGCTCAAAGTCGGAGACGCCCTCGCCTTGCGCCTGGAGCCGAGGGGCCATCTTCCCTCCCCGTTCACAGGCTTGCAGCTCAGTTCCGGGATGCGGATCCCCAACTTTGGAGATCTTGTGAACGCCTCTGCTCTAGAAGCGGAGTTGCTGCGCTTGAGGTCGCCCTGAGTATGCTCGGGCCCAAGCACAGCAAAGCTCTTGGTGCACCGGTTCTTGAGCGTCCGTCGGGTGGTGCTTCTGCAAGAGCGGAAGGTGCTGCCGGAGTCGCGCTCCCCAACCCCCGAGCTGCAGTCTCCAGGCAAGTCTTGGGGTGGGGGCGGCACTCCCAGAGAGTCCGACAGCTTCACGCCTTCCCTTCCAGGACTCCTACCAAATCCGCATGGGCCGACCCTTCAGCCATCAGGCGGCCGAGAGATCTGGGCATCAGACTTTCCGGCTCTGGGGGCTCAGGGGCTGCTGTTGGCAGGGTGGGGTCGAGTCCATTTCTGTCGGCCTTTGGGCATTTTGCGGATTTGGGGGTTTGGGTCTAGGACCTAGGAGTCTAGGATGTTCTGGGCTGAGGCGTTGCAAGTTGGGGGTTTTAGTTTCAGGCAGCCTGTAGCAGCAAGTGCTGGGGGCGGCTTCGTCCTTTGCTGTGTCTGCAAGAACCACATGTCCTTAAAGCGACAGACCAAGACCGGCACCTTACACATATCCTTCTTCCGAAGTTTTGAGGGACGCGCCTCGGTGCAGGTTTCTCCGTGAGCAGAGATCCGGTTTACGAGCGCCAACCGCTCGCGATGCCGTACGGCCAGAGGCACAGAGGTTTAGATAGGTTGGGATGGTTTTGGGGTATGTTTTCGGGGATATTTTTTGGGGGCGGGGCAGGGACGGGGTAGGGTATCTTATCGGAAGCCACGGAAGTATGCAGGAGGGGAAGCATTATGAGTCCAGCCATCGACCGCTGACTTTGTGCCAAGGGCTGCCAAGTGGAGATGGGCGCGTGGCTTCTTCCCTTTGGCAAGCCAAGACCACACTAGGACTTTGGCTGATTGCTCCTCTCCCCGCGGTCCCTGCTCTTTTGGGTATCCGTTTACCGTTCGGAATTTGGAGTTTCGGGTCCCCCATCTTCTGAACTCGTCTTCTGGCACCGGGCACAAGCAGCGGCTTCGCGCCAGGACCCGAGTTCCAGGAGGCACCGTTTCACCAAAAGCCCACAGCTGAGACAAGCAAAGCAAAGAGAAAGAGGGAGAGAGCGAGAGAGAAGAGGCTGTGGCGAAGCAGAGAGAGAGAGAGAGAGAGAGAGTTACCAGTAAAAGATCGGGTGGGCTTGAAGCCCGGGGGCCTTGACCGGCCCTCAAGCCCAGGAGAGAGAGAGAGAGAGAGTTACCAGTGCGCGGACACGCGCGGGCACAGTCTCGTGCTGTGCTTTGGCTGTGTGCAAGCAAGAGAGAGTTGTTTTTCAGCCCCAGTGCAAAGCAAAGCAAAGTTGCTTTACAGTTCCTCTACCCTCGCGAAAGAAAGAAAGTTGCTATACAGGGGCCAAGCACATGTTAGTTCTTCTAAGCAGAGTGCCGCTCACAGAGGGAAATGGCGCTCGTAGGTGCTTCGGATTGTTGCCATAGAGGGCGGGGGGATGAGGCCGGGATGGGGAGGTTTCAGGAGCGCCACACACCATGACCCTTTGCAGCCCGAAGGGCCAACAGACCTTCCCAAGGGACCCCGGACCCCAGTGCCCTCTTCTCTAGCAGTCCAAACAGAGAAGAGGGGCGCCTGGGCACGGGTCCAACTCCCTTGGGCTCATCCTCACGGAAGGAAGGAAGAAGGAAGAGACCGCGAGAGAGAGAAAGCGAGAGAGAGAGAGAGAGACACTTTGCACATCCCCCATGCCCTGAATAGTTCGAAGAAGAGCGAGACAGGCAGAGGGCTATCCTGTCATCGTTGTCGTCGTCAGTTTTGCTGCTGTCTTCGATGTGACGGTCGTACAAGCACAGAAGTACCTGTAGCATGATGTCTTCAGCGAGGTTTTCCCACTTGGATTTCAATGCCGATCGGGACAGACGGTGGCCGTCGAGTGCGCCGCGCCTTTTTTGGCGTTACGGCCATGCAGCAGCACTGGTTTCTCTAGGAGCGCACCGGGCAGGCTTCAGCTACCGGATGGAGGCGCTGGACCAGCCGCCCATGCCTTTGCCAGGAAGCCGATGCCCGAGAGCATTGAGCTACTGCTTGCGGTCCAGCACTGCAGAGCACTGCACCCCCAAAGCGAAAAGCCTGTGGGATCGGTTGGTCAAGGCTTTCCCGGCAAGCCCTTCACGTTGCTCATCTTTGACTGGGCGGGGCACTGGGCTGCTTCTTTTCCGGTTGGGAAGTGCCCGTTTTGGGGTCCCCCCTGTGTCGGGACAGCGACTGAGGATGACACGCTTATGTGCAGCTCAGCGATCAATGCCAACGAGTTCCTGTGCCTTGACAGCTACATGCATGCCTGAGGAGCATCCCGAGATGAAGTCGATTTTGAACCTTAGGTTGCGTTTAGGGTTTGATATTGGAGAGCGTCTCTCCACTACTTTTTTCCCCTCCCTCCGTACTCCTCCAATCCTCCAACTCCGCAGGCCGCATCAGTACAACCAGCTCGAGAGCCTCGTGGAGCAGGCTGGTACATCGGTTTCATGTCAAATTTTTCTGGAGTCATGCTGTTCTTGTAGTGACCGTGGCTGTTTGTTGCGATTGTGTTGGTAGGATTGCTTGCTTGTGTCCTGTTCACTGTTCCGCGTGGTTGCTCAACGTCACGTGCTGTCCGTTGACACTGCTGTTGTGTCTGATTGGAAAGCTCGAATCTGCCGTGTCAGCTGAGCAGGTGCTTCTGGCGGCCATGCGCCTTGGGGAGACTTGCATCGTGACCAACGCAGACGAGAACCAGCCCCAGCGATCGGTGACGCTTAAGGCTTGGAGTCGCTTGGAGCTGGGGGTTTCGGCCGTGCCGTGAGGATGTGGGTCACCGAGAGCGCACGGCGCTACATGCCACGTGTGCTTCCAATACTGCCCGAGTCTGAGAAGCAGGCAAGACACAACCGGTTGCTGCACTGCAGTTGTTGTGAAGGCCATAATTAGTTACAGTTCAGGTGTCAGTCTTTGACGCTCTCAGGTCGCGCATGCCCGTCGTGTCGGCACGACGGCGATTCGAACCTGGAGCCGCACTGGCATCCTAACTCCTAGAGTCCTACAGCCCACTGAGAATGGATTCAACAAACTCGTAGTCCATCACGCTGCAAAGCGACAGAACCTCCTCCATCCAATGTCAGCGCTGAAGCCCCTGAGTTGCATATCCGTATGCATACAGAATATGTACATAATATATACATACATATATAGGTACACATACATATACATGTTATGTGTGTGTGTGTGTGTGCGTCTACGCCCATATCTGTGCACATGTCTGTCTGTCTGTCTGTCTGTCTGTCTGTCTGTGTGTATGTAAGTATGCATGCATGCGTGCATGCATGTGTAAGTATATGTCTGTATATAAAGACATATATGTAGAGACAAATATGTAGATGTACATATATCTTGTTTGCATATGTACATGCACATACATTCCTGTGTTTCTCTCAGCATGTTATGGGGTTGTTGGAGATCCCTCAAGACGCTCACTGAGGAGCGCACCTGGCCTGGTGATGTGTTTGCTTGGAAGCGGGAGGCCTTTCGCCAGGCCGGTGCCGTGATGCATGAATGTGATTTTAGAATTTGATTCAAAATGTGATCAAGTTACAATATGCAAGTGTGCAACGACGTGTTCACGCACAGCTAGTAGACAGGCAGATTCGCACAGGTGCCAAACCGTGTAGCTTGATGCAATGCTTTCATAATGATGGCCAATGATCATGGCGATGATGATGATGGTGATGATGGTGGTGGTGGTGGTGGTGACACTTTTACGATGTGGCGGCGCGCATCACAGTTGATATGCTGCTAATCACCTACCCTGCCTTGCAAGATGCTCGGGAAAACATTTCAATGATGTGAGCCAGCACGAGGTCTTTGTTGTGACTGTGGCGGATGGCGATGACAACCTGGACCCAGTCGAGCTGTTTGAAGCCGACATGCCATGGCTGCACATCACCAACATTTCATTCTTCTGATCCTTGGTAAAGGCCAACCCCCCATTCGGATGCAGCATCTGGCCAGTAGCGAGCGCGATGTCGGCGTGGGCGTGCGCTGCTGGCAGATGCTGCATCCGAATGGGGGCTGACCTTCAGTTGGTTGGTTCTTACCAACAGACACTTTTGTTCTGGGCTGCAGAGCGCGGAAACGTCAACTTCCTCTTGGACTTCGGTTGCGAGGCGAATTTGCAACGACAACCTCAAGAAGACCGTCTTGTTCTTGAAAATCACTCACATACATTCAGAGGTCGTGAACTTTCTCATTGAGCACTGAGCCTCGGTGGATGTGTTGTCTGCAGATGTTGGTCGGCAAAGCATGGCAAAGCCCAAACCCTCAAGGAAGATCGCGGGTGGCAAAACCGAAACAACGAAAATATTGGCGATCAAACCGTAAACCCACACGGAACACTTCGGCTGGCAAAAACCCAACCTTGAACAAAACAAGCAGCAAAACCGAAACGAGGAAGATATTGGCTGTCAGACCCTAAACCCTACAACGCTTGTTCGCAAAACTCCTAACCCTGAAAGAAGATCGTGGGTGGCAAACCCTGATCCCCAAGCGACGAAGATGAGGCTGGCAAGTCCTCAACGCTGACAGGACATGTTGGTTGGCAAATCCTGACACCAAAAGTAGCTCCGTTCATAGCAAACCGCTGCTAGCCAGTGGTGGTGGTGGTGGTGGTGGTGGTGGTGGTGGTCACGCCTTGTAACCCTAATCCTGGAACTTTAATCCTCGGTTTGATGGTGGAGAGCCTAGACCCCAAACGCCTGAAGCTGAAACCTCCAAACCTTAAACCACAAACAGTTTCTTCCACCGGGTCTCCGAGTTTTGGTGCAGCCCGGGCAGGTCTTGTCCTCCTGGCAGGCGAATGTGCTGGCTTCCGGGGGCATGCACCTGAGCCGACGGCTCAGCTTTCCCCCCTCGGGGGCTTCGGGGCTCAGACTTCGATGTGCTTTGCCAGTTGTTCTCGGCGACTCCGTGGTCGAGATGGAAGCCGTGGGAGCCTTGGGCATCCTCTGAGCATAA